TTAAGACTTGATAATTATAAACTATTTAATACTTTAATAGTTAATACTAAAATATTAAATATTAACTTTTGTTTTGAGTGAAATAACCCATTTAAAAAAGAAGGGAACAATAGCTATTCGGCCGACTAGGTTGCCTAGGAGGCGTAGTCGGCGCCTAGGAAGTCTAGGCGGGTCAGCGCCTAAGCGGCCTAGACGGTACATAGGCGGCCACCTAGCCGGCCAACCGCCTAGACCACCGATAATGGTGATACGCTAGGCGGCCGGCCAGCGCCTAGCGTCTAGGTGCCGATTAATCGGGACCCGGATGAGATTTTTGCAACAGTGGTTTTAACACTAGTTAGTGAAAAATCTGACGAGAGAGTTACATTGGCTACAATTGAAACAATTGAGGGACCAATTTTGAAAATTGACAATGAAGGATTACATTGCATATCTGAGAATAATTGAGGGACTAAAAGTGCAATTCTCTCTCTTTTTTTTTTCTTTTTTTTTTAAGCCTCTATACAGTAAAAGAAGTGGTTACGTTATTCTTAATGATGTTACTTGTCTCCCTATCATTCTGTTTTTTATATTTCCTGCAAACGTACTGTCTTTTAGCCGCTTTGAATAATCATATTAAAGTTATTGTTAACCAAACAGTATGATATGTCTGGAAGATTTCCCACTCCATCATAAATAATTAGATTATTAATTAATTAATTAATTAAGACCCTTTCACTGTTAGTGATTTTAATTATATATATATTTATTTCCTAATTTTTGTACACACATACATCTTTCTGTTTCACTACATCTGTACTCTTGTCTCAGGCTGTATGCTATGCTTAAGACAAGATGTTACCACATAGTCGAATATGTGGAAATTAATCAACTCTATAAAGAAAACAAATATTTTTAGACGACATACTAGGAAAACCAAGTATGCAACCACTTGCTATGTCAAATTAATTTAATAATAATAATAAATAAATAAATAAATAAGTTAATTCTCCAAAGGTTCCTCATCATTTGCGACAATTTCAAATTTAGTCTCAAACTATTGTTTTTGTCATTTAACATCTCAGAGTATTATTTTTTAGACACTTTTAATTATTTTCATGATTGTTCCTATTTATAGTAAGGAAATATTTGTCTCTTTATATTTTTCTTTTGTTATTTTCTGGTTTCAACCGGTTTAATTGCTTTAGGACTTTTATCAGATGAAAAATATGGCTACTAAAAATCAGAGGTTACCTAAAGTTTTAAATCAATTAAACCGGTTGAAACCGGAAAAATAACAAAAGAAAAATATGAAAAGATAAAAATGTCCTTACTAAAAATAGGAAAAGTCATAAGACTGACTAAAAGTGTCCAAAATATAATAGTCCGGAATGTTAAATCATAAATGGCAAAAACAATAGTTTAAGACTACATTTAAAATTGTCACCAAAGACAAGCTAAATAGATATCCGATGTAATTAACTCTGAATAAAAATTTAAAACGCAATAAATCATTCTATAGCATCTCATTTGTCTTCTTTACAGCCTCTTTTTGGTTGTTGATGTCATCGCTTGCATAAGTAAAACATCATCATGTCGGGATGACATTCATGTTAGGTAATTAGATCGATATTCTGGGCAAATTATACTAGGGACCCGGTGCATAATACATTGTGGTTCAGGCATCAAAACGGTGTCGTTTCTTTTAATGAGAAGAAACGACACCTGTTTCGCGCCGTCCGTAAAAAGCAACTTTGCTTGTATAACATATTCGGTTTCATTTTGTATACACTGCAGTTTCATTTCAACACAACTATAATTTCATTTTGATATAACTACAGTTTCATTCGATATTATACACTCAAATATGTGAAACTGTTATTCAATTTGATTTTAGATACACTATAGTTTCATTACAACACAATTACATTATCATTTCGATATAACTACAGTTTCATTGCACAATGTACACTCAAATATGTGAAATGTTATTCAGTTTCATTTATATACATTGCAGTTTCATTTCAATACAATTACAAATATCATATTGATATAACTACATTTTCGCTAGACAACATACACTCAAATATGTGAAATTGTTATTCAGTTTCATTTTGTATACATTGAAGTTTCATTTCAATATAACTACAGTTTCATTTCAATTCAATTGCAGTTTCATTTGATAATATAAAAATAATATGTAAGATAGTGTCAATTTAGATATATTATAGTTTTATTTGGTATTTAACACACTAAAAATATGCGCTCCATTAAGTTGTAACGGCTGTCATTTCTTTACTTAAAAAAACGACGCCGTTTTTAGACCATGATCTATAAAGCTTTGTGGACCGCGGTCTACAGTATAATTGCCGATATTCTGGACCTTTAGCTTGAAGTGTTACTCTTTAAGATATACGGAGCATAATTTAAATTGCCTTGTTCTAAAAAATGTTCTTTATAAATTATTTTTAAATGAGTTAATCTATTTTTTCCCTAGATTTATAGATATTATTTCATTTTTTTTCCAAAATATTCTCTTTCATCCTAGTATTATTGTGTGTCAAAGTACCATTGATGCCCATGTACTATAGTGTTTTGTTCAATTTAGTTTTTGTACGTTTATTTTGTTCAATTTAGTCCATGTACTGTAAAAAGTTGTGCAATTAAGGACAATAGTTGTGTAATTTGGTTGTAATTATTTATTTTGGACATATGAATTTAATATATTAGTGGTAAAAATAATTAATTTTAAATATTTATAAAGTAATAGTGACAGTAATGATGTCAACGCCCCATAAGCTAAGTGAATGATAATATTAACACCGTTAACTATTGTCCTTAATTGTACCACTTTGTAAAGTACATTGACTAAATTGAACAAAATAAAGGTATTAAAACTAAATTGAACAAAACACTATAGTATAGGGACCTCATAGGTATTTTGACCTATTATTGTGCCATGACCATTTTTTGTCTTGCGTCAACAAACATGTTTAAATTGCATTAAATATGATGACATTTCGGTCTATTCAGTTCTAGGTGTTAATTCCTTTTTGGTCCTAGATTTATACGTGTCGTTCCACTGTTAGCTAAAGAGGTGCAACCAAGAAAGTTCAACCCCACAACCGCAATCACAACAACATGTGTGTCAACCAACCAAGCCACTCACATCTCATGTATCAAAAGGACATGACGTTCTGTTGGAAAAAATAACTTAAAATGACATATTAAGTGGCTATTTTGTGGTACAATTATCAGTAGGGTCCACTTCCGATTTGGGTCGGGTCAAAGTGGATTCGGATTCTTCATAATGAGACGAAGAGATTGATATATTGTACGCTCAAAACGGATAATGGGTGAATGAGATATTGATTCTCAAAGTAGACCAATTGAGTTGGAAAAATGAAAGGAAAAATGAGCTTTGTCCCACATTGGTTTGGAAAGAGGATTTGACCCCTCTTTTATACAAGAGCTCTTTTGGAGCTTGTAGAATTGTATAGCATAGAGGCTTTCGTGCGCGGGGTGGGTTTGCAAACCAAATTCTAACTAGAAACGAGATCGAAAAGGCTTGATTCAAGCCCGAGCTCGTGTGTGCCGGCACCTATAGGCACGAATGGCCCGAGCTCGTGTGGGGTAGTAGGAGCAAGTGATTTACAACGTGAAGAGAAGAACAAGAGAGACAAAACACAACGATAAGCACCACTCTGCTCCTACTCCTTTCTTGCTACTGTATTCTACCCGTGCTCTTGTTCGCCGGGTTCGTTCGTTTGGGTGCTCAAACGTCGAACCGTTGTATGTTTTATCCTGGGAAACCTAGGCTACAACGCTCCTAGCACTTTTGGGAGGTGACAAATAAGGTTTTAAGAAAAGAAAGGCACCTCGCCTAACTCGTACTTTCTTCTTTCTTCCTTCTCTGTTCTTTCTTGTTGTTTGGAATTATAATCTGAGGATTATAAGTTCCATTTTTTGGTTAATATATATTGGTATATCTTTTCCATATATATATATATATATATATATATATATATATATGTATGTATGTATGTATAACCTTGGATCCGTTTTATATATATTTGTGTGTATATATATATTTCGTGTATATATATATAAATATTATTTTAGGGATATTAAATCGATTTTGGTTCATTATCACCAACACGTTCTACTTATTAATGTGAAGGCCATTGACAACAAGTAATTGGGGGACATGTGTATGACCAAAAATGGAGAATAACCAATGTCATACATGCACTTGTCAAACATTGGAAAGTCTTTGCACTATATAAGAGGCTTGATGTGTCCTTTTAAACATCACCCCTTGATTCACTATAATCATCCTAGTCCAGCAACTTGTAATCTCTACTTCCAACATGAGCACCTAGGGTTGGGGGAAATTGGGGGTAAAATTGAGTGTTGTGAAATTACTAAATTGTCCATGGTTTTAACACTAGTTAGTGAGAAATTTGACCGGAGGGTTAAATTGACTAAAGTTGAAACAGTTGAGGGACCAATTTGGTAAAATTGATAACGAGAGACTACATTGCATATCTGGAAACAATTGAGGGACTAAAAGTGCGATTTTCCCAAGAAATATATGCACATGAAAAGTAGTCTTAATGAATATAGCTTGAAAAATGGTCTGTCTTACTATTGAACCAAAAAGCAATTGGTTTCAAATGGGAGAAGAAGAATAACCAATTAAATGGCGGCCTATTGTTAATTGGGTGTTGAGACCATATCTACCTGACAATCTGACATGGATATGATGTGTATGGAACCAAAATCTAAAGCCTTTCATTGGTAGGACCCACAAAGAGATTTGCTTCCACCTTCCTTTCTCTATATAACACCCAACCACTCCTCTCTTTAACTCCCTGGCCTTCAACCATTTCTTTCCTCTTAGGTGCCCTCATCATAACCTTTTCGATCTCTTAGTTGAGGCAGTTGATTAGAATAAACATTTAGTTAATTAGGGTAGTTATACTATTGAGAGAGAGAGAGAGAGAGAATTGACTTTAAAGTTATTAGTAGGGCAGCATAGAAGCATGAAGGAATCTGCAGGTAGAAAACAAAGTGGGGTTTCTCCATGTGCAGCATGTAAACTGCTTAGGAGGAGATGCAGCCAAGATTGTGTTTTTGCTCCTTATTTCCCAGCTGATGACCCTCACAAGTTTGCCAGTGTGCATAAGGTCTTTGGTGCTAGCAATGTCAACAAGATGCTACAGGTAATTACAAGAATGTCACAAATAACAATTTTAGAATTGTAGTTTTTTCATATTCAAAATGTCACAAAAGACCGAGTCAATACTTTTCTTTTCAGATTATAATCTAAAATAACAAGTTCGATTCCAACTTTCAGCATAATCCGAAGTACCGAGTTCAAATCTTAGAAATGCAGTTATCTTAAAATTCATGAGAGAGTTTTTTACCACCTTTTAAAGTTGTCAACTTGTCACATCTAACATGAATAAAGAAAACTCATGAGAGAGTATTTTACCACCTTTTAAAGTTGTCACATCTAACCTGAACAAAGATTAGTTTCTATGTATTATCTTAGTTAAGTGGTTGTAGTTAGACACCCAGAAAAAACAAAATCTAAAATAAGAAGTTTCAAGTATATTATTCTTAGAGCATCCTCATCAATTGTCATTTTTTCCCAAATTTTTGTGGACCTCAACATCCAACTCATCATCATTCACTATTTCACTCAATCCCAAAAACTCTTCTTCCCATTAATTTTAAATTTTTTCAAAGTTTTTTTGTGGACTCACTCATTTACAAAAATCATGTTATAATTATTTCTTTATTTATTATCATTTTTAAAATTTTAATTTTAATTTTAATTATTAATATTTATATTTAAATTAAATATGTCAAAATTAAATTAAATTTATAATTATAAAATTTCAATTCAAATATTATGGTATCAGAATTATATACTACATTTACATTATATAAATTTTAAAAAAAATCACAACAAAATTAAATTATAATTTTTTAACCAAATTAATTTTTTTTTAAAAAATGAAAGGATGCATTCACTGAGTTGTCGACCACTTTCAATCGCCCAAGCGGATACGTGTAATACATGCGCCCACTTGGGAGGCCAGTGAGACGCACAGTTGGCCTTTAACCAAAAAAAAAAAAAAAAAAAAAGACTCGTAAGAACTTGATTTTGCAGGAGTAAAATCCAACAAAAAAACCTCTTCCTCTATCCACCAAAAACCAATTCCTCTCCTTTACACTGTTCTAAAAATCATGAAAGATGCATTGATGGAAATGCTCTTAGTATAAGTAGATTTTGTCCAAATTTTAGCTTAATTTATACTACAAACCCTAGCTATTTCACACCCACGTTAAAACATGCTTTGGCACCTCTCCAACTGCATGTTAACATCCTCAAGGTTTGGATAAAATTCCACATAATATTTTACCAAAAGTGGGGAGGGAGAAATTAATTAAAGCCAATAATGGATGTTTGTGCATTATTGTACCCCACATTATTCACCAGGCCAGCAATTATCATTAGATGCTACCTTCTCTTTCTCACATTTCTGTTTGTGTACTGATGATTAATTTGATGTTTAGGTAAACTGGTAAAAGCTAAGTATGCTGAAACTTGTTGAAAGATAGAGTGGGTGAGAAATAACTGTCATTGTTGATACACGTATAACTTGAAAGCAGAGTGAAAAGATTTCATCAATTTTTTATTCAATTGTACTTATACTCTGCTTTATCTAAGTATGGTGTGAACTTACCATTTAAGAGCAATTCCAATAGTAAGAAATTTTTGGTGGTTTTTATCAGGACAACTAGAAAGATAAAAAAAGAGGGGAGAGGAAAACAAAAAAAAAAAACAAAAAAACAAAAAACAAAAAAACAAAAAAAAAAACAAAACAAAAACAAAAAAACAAAAACAAAAACAAAAATAAAAATAATTTTTCTTCTTTTAAAAATAAGAAAAAAGCAAATGATTAACGCGCCTAGCGCACGCCCCTGGGCGCGTGCGTGCAAGATGTGCTGCACACGCGAAACTTCTGCCTTTATTTTGCCTTCCTTTCTCTCTCTTCTAGGCCCACAAAAATTTACCTTTGCCGAAGAAAAAAAAACCCTTAAAAAGCCATCCCCTCTCATTTGTTAAAAATCAACCCATTGATTTGTTAATGTTCCAAAAATCACTGAAAGTGCGTTGCTGTAGGTACGCTACCATTTATTCATATTATGTAATGATTTTACACTTTTTACACCCTTATGGCATTTTTTTTTTTTTTTTTTGATGTGACAAGATAATAGTAAATGTAAATATTTTTTCAAACTAATTCTTATTTTAGTTAAGAAATGACGGTATGAAAGTCAAAGAAGGAATGAATTCAGCATAACTATACATATTATCTAACCTTAAAAAGATATTAGAAAAATAAATTTTTATTTCTAAATTATAACAAAACACTTTTCGTCCCACATTTTTTTCGAATGTTCACGAATAAAATTGAATTAAAAAGTCACTTCACAAACAATTGAAAGACAAATAAATAACTGTGAGAAAAAAAAATAACAATAAAATAATTGTGACTAAAAAATGCTATTTCACTATAATTTATAGACAAAAATGTCATTTCCCCAAAGATATATTACTTGCACTAAAACTTTTACTACATACACAAAATTTTGTATTATCCAATATGTTCTATCTTAATAACTTTGTAGTAATTAAATTGATGAATTTATAAATAATCAATAAATACAAAAAGTTGTGATATTTGATCTGATTTCGTCAAATGTTGCAATAATTAGTGTAGAAAGATTTGGTCCAAGTAAAATTTTCTTTTCAAAAAGTTAACCTGTTTTTCGAAAGAGATGATACATCCATACCTAGGAATACTAAAAAAGGAGACAACAAATTTGGAAGTAGATTAAGATATGGTCCAAAAATGGTTAATAATTTTGACCATCCAAATATGTACAATATGCACATATTCTTGGATGGGGAGCATCTAGCCTGATCAGGATATTCAAAAAATGAAACGTATAGTCACTCAATTATAACTCTAATATGGTCTTTAATTACTCAAGGTGTACATTTAGTTATATTATTTTTTAAAAAAATACTTTATTTTAACACTAGAATTTAGAGACTAAATTCGTTACGTTTTTTAAAATTTGAAAGTTAAATATGTCAATGCAAATAATAATGTTTGTCATTACAAAAAAATTATGCATTAAATTTATAAGGGTCACACTTGTGTGAGACCGTCTCTGATTCTTATCTGTGAGGCGGGTCTGGTCGAACCAATATAAAAATGCAATATCTATACTGAAAAATGTAATACTAATTAGAAATAAAGCGTTTGTTACTTATAAGGAAAAATATAATGCTTTTGACGACAAATTTAATAGTTTTATATTTTAATATGAAAGTATTATATTTTTCATTAAAAGTATTATATTTTTCTTTAAAAATAATATTGGTATGGCAAGTGTTTGTTACTAATAAGGAAAAATATAATATTTTTAAATCAAAATGTAAAAGTATTACATATTTTAATTTCATATAAGTAATAAACATTTTATTCCTTATTAGTATTACATTTTCTAATATAAGTATTACCTTTGATCTTGACTCGACCCGTCTTACGGACAAGGATCAGTGAGACGGTCTCACATAATTTTTTATCAATTTATGAAAATACGCTCTATAATGCACAGTTTTATGCGCAAGATAACTTAAATTAGTAATTAATACCCAAAACATTAGTAGTTGGTGTAATCATGACGACTACAGAATTATAGATCATTTGTCAAACTTTGGGTCCCAGAGATATATAGGACTATTTAATTTCTTGAAGTCATTAACTTATAGCACTAATTATTCAAAATATAAAAATAAGGAAATGCAAGAATAGATATACCTTTACATAATTTTAGCTAGGTAGATTTTATGGTGCTGATGAGTACCAGTGTTGATTGTGATTATATGAAATATTACTAGTAATGATTTTTAATAATATTGAAAACAACTTGCATAGTATACATGATTATACATACGGGATTCTAATATGATTTATAAAATGCTGAATGGCACCATAAAATTGAAGAAATTCTTGGGAAAAAGGTCAATGAGGCCCTCTAACTTTATACGAAATCATAATTAGGTCCTTAAACTTTTGAATTATGCAATTAAACACTTTAACTTGTCATTTTGAAATAGTCGGTTAGTGACTTGTAATAGCAAGTCGTTATGGCTCCAACAATATTTCGAGAGAAAAAATCAGCGACTGAGGAACAGTGCCGTTAGTCCAAAGGTGACTAGAGAAGGCAACCAACCTTTTTTTTTAAAGCCTTCTTCTTCAAGAAGGTGACTAGCGATGATTTTTTGTGATCGGAAGAATCGCGAAGGCAACTAATCCGGTCGACCGAGCGTTAAATTTTTTGTGAACGGTGGCGGCCAACGACGACGTGCTTATCGGTAACCTGATTGTTACCGGTAATTGAACTTATTGAATTTGACTAGTTTTTATAAATTAAAGTGTTTAATTGCACATTTTGAAAGTTTAAAGGTCTAATTGCATTTTTGCGTGAAGTTGGAGGTCCTATTTGACCTTTTTCCCAAAATACGTACTTTAAAGAATTTAGATACAATTTTGAACCTCAAATTAACCTAAGGACCCATCATGTCTCCTGCGGCTTTAGGAAGCTTGTAAGAAGAAGTAAATCGCAAGATGTTCCTCGGTAGCACACAGTGTTCCGAGGACTTGCTTATTTCCCAGGATCTTATCCCTTATCGGGTTCAAACGGGGGCATTTGTTAGCTAATACAACCACAATCTAACTTCGCCTTGGGGTGAATTTAGACAGGCTAATGTTCATATGTAAGGTCTAATTAATATAATGCAATGTTGGGTTGTGATGTTATTATAGGAGTTGCCGGAACAGTGGCGAGGCGACGCTGTGAATTCGATGGTGTACGAGGCAAATGCCAGGGTTAGGGACCCCGTGTACGGTTGCGTGGGCGCCATTTCATCTCTGCAGCAACAAATTGACCTCCTCCAAACACAACTGGCAATAGCCCAAGCTGAGATGGTCCACATGAGAATCCGGCACTTCTCTCCCATGTCCGCCGCCGCCGACAACACCGCCATGGACTCATCGGAAAATGCCTACGATGTCTAAGACTACGTAACCACTGCATGCACAATATATATTTATATGTATATATAGGTCTATTCTTAGGCTCTTAGCACGGTCCATGGTGGTAGGCCGCCATGGCCAACGTAGACGAGTCTAGCTTTGTCTTCGTCGTCATCATCATCATATATATATATTTATCTATATAATCAGTTGTCCCATCCAAAAAAGATATCTATAATTCAGCGAGGAAATTAATCACTGTTCAGGATGAAAACTCTAAATACACTCAAAAAAAATCTCTCTATATATATATGAAATCTAGCATGCCACCTACTAGTGTTTTCTTATATTAATTTAATTTTGTATCATAATAATTATTTATTATGGTCACTTTCTTTATTGTCTCCACTCGTTTCATTAATGTTTCGTTTGCTAGCTTAGCTTATAACAAAGTCTTGACAACCTGACCCGGCCGAGGTGATGATCATCATCATTAACCATATTGTAAATGTCTAAAAGTATTATGATGAGCTATTATTATTATGATATATATGAGATATTACGAGAAAGTTCGTATGTTTATTTAAAAGTATGTTTTATGTAAAAATTTTCATGTGATTTTAATCAGTAAAAGACTACAAAATAATAAACCAGTACAAATTTCCCACAACTTATAAAACTCAAACCAAAAATGTTACTATAATAGATAATTCTCACAAAAATTCAAACTTAAAATCTTTTAGTTGTCAATTTAACGGCTTGACCAACTTCATTGGATTGCTTTCTTTTGTTTAGATAAGTTTGGTTTTTGTTCATTGATTTAGGAAGAGCTACACAGTTTACTATACTTTGTTCTGTACTGTGCTCTCTTTTTGGTTTAATTTTAATAAATTTGCAAAAAAAAAAAAAAAAAAGAATTATATTTTCATGTTAGTTGAAGTGTAAATCATCAATGTATAGTAATGTCGCCTATCATGGCAAATGTCATATCTCTAAAGCACTTTGTCACCGTTTAATTAATTATTTTTTCCGTGGAGACAAAATAATGTAATGGGAATATTGTCAATCTACGTGACATGATGCATAGACTAATTGTTGGACCTCAGTCCTCAGCTCTAACGGAAATGCTTTTCCAGAGAAGAAGAGTGACAAAGTCACAATTCAATGAAGAAATTAAAACTCAAGAAATAAATACACTAATCTGCATTTTCATTGCCAAAAAACAAAGATATTATTTTTTATTAGGGGCAAGCAAATGGCAACTCGTATTAGTATATACAAGGGAGCTGAGCTGAGGGGAGATTACCATACATATATACAGGCCGGGAAGCATATTGCAGTGCTATCTGATCTGATCTTAGCCCCCATATATGGAATATAGAAATAACCAAACAAAAAGTCGTCTGAAATTACTTATATTTCCATGGTTAGCATACGGCCATGTAACCCCTTACTTTGAACTTGCCAAAAAGCTGTCCCAAAGAAACTTCAAGATCTAATTCCACTCAACCCAATAAAAGGTTCTGGCGGAGTTTGGTTGAGATCCATCCGCGAGTTCAGATCCAAGCTGTTGTCTTCGGCTTCAGGTTCATTGAGGAAGTCGGGTACATTTTAGGGATCGGTAAAGCGCAATGAACGGCTTGTACTGGTCCCCATGGACGTTGCCAAAATATAGTAGTAAATACCGAGATTTTTACAATGATGTAAGGTATAAGAGTCGATCATATGAGATTAGGGGTGTAAATGAGACGAGCTGCTCGCGAGCAAAGTTCGGCTCGAGCTCGAGTCGAACTCGAACGGTTCGTTTACCTATTGCGCTCAAGACGAGCTCACATATCCTATGCTCATGGCTTGACGAGCATCATCATATCATCATCATCATAACAATAACAATAACAATAACAATAACAATAACAATAACAATAATAATAATAATAATAATAATAATAATAATAATAATAATAATAATAATAATAATAAAAGGTCGGCGATGCTCAGATCGAACTCTACCCGGAAGGTGGACTCGGTACCGATAAGGTATACGCTACAAGTACAGTCGAGGATAATCCATATCACTGAGGATGTGCATGGGGTAAAACACGCGTTTTGACCTTAGTCAGTAAAGAATCACAAGGAAGTAAACTTGTTTAGGTTGCTTAGAAACTTATAACCTTGTAGTTATCAAGCCAACAATCTGACTAACTTGGTTGAGGTTGTTCATAAATTTTTCTTTTTTTAAGTCTTATAAATAATGTCATGTAAGCATTAAAAAGTAATTTTATTAGAAGATAATAACATTTTTCAATTCAAGAAAACTACTGTAACCACTATATTAACCTAACTAGTAATTCACCCGCGCGATGCACGGGAAAAATATGTTATTATAAATATAAATAAAAAATATAAAAATTAAAATATTTTAAATTATTTAATATAATAATATTTTTGAGCTTCCATTGGTCAAGTATTTATTATTTTTATAAAATACAAAATTACAATTAAAATTAAAAATAAAATTATAATTTTGTATGGTTAATATAATCTCTAATTATGTACATATTCAAATAAACTTATAGAGAGAATTTACATAATTACATTGATTTATTCTTAATTATATTTCATCTATATTATAATTGTCACAATACGAATAATAACTAAGATAATTACATTTAGAAAGCAAATTTCAAATTTTGTATGTGTAAATTTAAACTCTAATTGAACACATTTTTTATATGATTATATAATATATAGCTATTTTATTTTTCAAAAGTATATTTTTTATATGATTATATAATATATAGCTATTTTATTTTTTAAATGTTGTGCTTTTTTTTTTTTAATAATAAAGGATGTTGTGGCATTAATTGTAACATTAATTATTTCCCAAACCATATAGCTTTATTATATAAAGGATTTTAATGTTTTCATAATAACTATACATAAGGACTTACGGATTGGTAATAATCTCTAGATCCATCAAAACACTCTTAGCCCGCCCCGTTTCACGGAAAGGACAGGGTAAGTTTTGATATTTTGACGGCCTTTTAATTTACTATAATATATTAATTGAATTTTAATTTACAATTTGCTGTAAACCAATATATATATATATATATATATATATATATATATATATATATATACACACACACACACACACATATCACACACATACACACACACACACACACACATATATATACACACACACACACACACACACACACACACACACACACACACACACACACATATATATATATATATATATATATATATATATATATATATATATATATATATATATGTATGTATGTATGTATGTATGTATATAGAGAAAATTTTAATTTTGGTCCACTGACTATTGAGGTTGTGTTAATTGCAATACTTGACTTTCAAAAATGTTAATTTAGTACTTTGACTATGCAATTTCTATTAATTTTGGTCACGCCGGCCAAATGTGACCGGAAAATTTAAACTTATTAAATAAAAGGGGGCAAAAACGTCATTTCAGTTTTTTTTTTTTTTTGAAAATTAAAAATTTGCAAAGTGTTGACCTTCACCTTCGCACCTTCGTCTCCCCGCCATGTATGCGGCAGTTGTAGAAGATGGCGTCGTCAGCCGAGACGCGAAGGGCGACGACTTGGTGCTTAGCGGCTCCCGCGGAGTTCTCGATTCCGATACAACGTCATTTCTGGTCTTTGTGGTGCTTAGCGGCTCCCGCGGACTTCGCTGAACTGGGTAACCATGGCGAGGCGGGAACAAGTTTTTCAGGCAAGGAAGTTGGCACACGCTGGCTGGAATGACGCCGGTGAGCCGGTTGTAGCCAACATTCGTAGAGCCCTAGGTCATCACCGTCGCCGCTTCCACCTCGACAGAATCTTCGCCTACTCCATAACTCTGGGCAACGGCGGGATATTTGTAGTGAACTCGCATTTCCCAGACAGAACCGCGCGTAGTCCCTTGTTTTTTAGATACATAGGTGACGGCGATTTGATTAAAAAAGAGCTTGATCCAACCGAATTTAAAGGCAAAATCGTCTCCATGTTCGGCAATGCCCTCAAGGCCGGCACCATTGGAGACCGAGCGAGGACGCGGAGGTTCCGCCGGGAACAAGTTCAGGATGTCGCTCCAGTGTTGTCGGTGCAGTTCACAGTCGCCGCGACCGGCAGACCGAAGCGAGGACGCGGAGGTTCCCCGGGAACTAGTTCAGGATGTCGCTCGGAGAAAAGGAGCACGAAGCTAGGATGTCGGAGAAGAGGAGGGACGTCGGAGAGAGGGATGTCGGAGAAGTGGAGCAGGCGTGACCAAAATAGGAGAAGGTTTGAATAACATGAAATGACCATTTTACCCCTCTTGTTTAATGAGTTAAAATTTTCCGGTGACATTTGGTGAGTAATTTGGCCGGCGTGACCAAAATTGATAAAAATTACATAGTCAAGGTACTTAATTAATATTTTTGAAAGTTAAATGTTGCAATTAACACAACCTCAATAGTCAGTGGACTAAAATTGAAATTTTTTCTCTCTCTCTCTCTCTCTCTATATATATATATATATATATATATAATCAAGTTTAAAAAATTAGTATATTGTATAATTGATTTGTTATTGACTTATAGATTAGCATATTATGTATTTGATTATTTATTATTTATTATTGTGTTTTAAAAATTACAAATGCATTAATATATGTTTAAACTATCCAAATTATCAGGACTATGTGGTCTAATGGTACCCGGGTTGGACTTTCATTTGGAAGATTATGAGTTCGAGCCTCAATGGAGGCGTTATTTGTTCTTTGTGTTTCAGTAGGTTGAGAAAGTATATATGAACAAATACTACAATGTAATAGAGCCAGTAACTTTCAAAAAAACTATCCAAATTATTTTAGTATACACTTATTACCTTTTTATATTGATTTTTATTTAAATTTAAAACTTTTAAAATTTAACGGGCCTCGCCCAGGCCCACGAGCTTAAGGTGGGCTGGGCTAGGTGGACATCCCTTAGGCCCGTATTTTGACAGGCTTTTTAGCCCACCCCGCCATATGACAGACTCCGCCGGTCTGCTTCGACAGCTCTAAGTAATGCTACATTTCTCTCCAGATTTCATCTCCTAATTGCCACCTTCTAACATGACAATATTTGAATGGTTTATTTTATATATGATTAATAAGTAATTTTTTTTTTTTAATGTTGAGAGGGGTCTGACAATTCACAGTAACCAATGAATAAAATTAATATTATTGTTACACCAGGAGATTAACATTAATATGTAAAATTAAGAAGGAAAATAGTAGGGGCAACAGTTAAATTGTTGACTTCGTAATCATAATGTTACAAGTTTAACTTTCAACAGGAGTGTCTATTGGCTCTCCTTAATTTGAGCCGGTCAACTATAAGCAACCTAAACCAGTTTACCTCCTTGTGATTATTTGCCGACTAAAATTTTCACAAGGCGAGATTTATCTTGTACACACCCTCAATCGAATAATAATAATAATAATAATAATAATAATAATAATAATAATAATAATAATAATAATTCTTTTTAATATTCAGCATTGTTATTAATCAACAAAGTCAGAGTAAAAACGACTCCTATATCCACACATGCACCACATCACATTGATGGCAAAGGCAAGGAGCACACCCCTTAGGTTGGAAGCTAAGGCAAATGGTACAAAGTCAAAGTGGAATATAATGTTTTTTTTTTTTTTTTTGAAAACTGGAATATAATGTTAATATGCTACATTATTATGAATCATATCGTCAATCTTCCCGTCACCCCCAGTATTAGAACTTCTTGGGGAATGCCCCTTTGACTTTATGAACCAATTGCAAAATCTATTTTAAAGATTACATCATGCAAAGTATATTACATGCACAGGTTGACCTCAGTAACTAATTCTAGGGCCATAGTCTTGCCTCATAAATATAAAATCATCTTAGGAGAATGATCTAAATGTTATTCTATGTACTTACGAGCAATTTGGTAAAGAATATAATAAATATTCACAATATAATACCATTATCCATATGCTATATATAGGAGTGTCGAGAGTTGAGGGAATCAACCTTCAATACATACTTGAACTCGATTAGAACTTCATCTCAATCACTTTCACTCAAACAATGGCACCAAGCTTTGATGATGCCAACTCTTTGTATGATTTTGTTGTCCAAAAAGGCTATGGTGTGAAGGGTCTAGTAGATTCTGGCATAGCCAATGTTCCCGAAAGTTATATCCAACCCTTGAAAGAAAGAATCAATAAACAGTATGCAACCCAACACTTATTTTCAACCATTGATTTATCAAAACTAGATGGACCCCAACACAATGAAGTGGTGGGGGCCCTTGTGCACTCAGCCGAGACATTAGGGTTCTTCCAAGTGGTGAACCATGGTGTGCCGGTGGAGTTATTGGAGGAGCTTAAAGAAGCAGCTCACAAATTCTTTAATCAAACTCCTGAGAAAAAGTCAGTTTATCTTAAGGGGATTAGCCCAAACCCTTTGGTGAAATATGGGACTAGTTTTGTGCCTGAGAAAGAGAAGGCTTTGGAGTGGAAGGATTATGTTAGTATGGTGTATACCAATGATGATGAGGCACTTCAGCATTGGCCTAAGGAATGCAAGTAAGAAACCCTATGCATGAAAACTTTTATGATGTCAATATATGTTAAACTCTTCTGTCTTTTTTATTCCAGGGAAATTGCACTTGAATACTTGAAGTCATCAACAAAGATGGTGAGGAAATTACTGAGCATATTATTTGAAAACCTCGGGGTAACACTTGACAAGTCACGAGAAGAAGCTCTCCTTCATCTTAAAATGGTTAACATGAACTTCTATCCCACATGTCCTAACCCAGACTTAACCGTCGGCGTGGGGCGCCACTCAGATATGGGCACATTCACTGTGCTACTCCAAGATGGAATAGGTGGTTTGTATGTGAAACTGGAAGAAAATGTGGAAGATGGAAAGGAGGAATGGGTTGAAATCCCACCCATCCCTGGTGCTTTAGTTATAAACATTGGTGATACCCTGCAGGTTCTATCACTAAACTTTCCCTAAATTTCACCATGTTTCTTTCTTCCAATAATACTTACTTGTTATTTGTTTAGATACTAAGCAATGGCAGGTACAAAAGTGCTGAACATAGGGTGCGTACAACAAGCACACAGTCCAGAGTTTCAGTGCCACTATTCACAATTCCAAGGCCAAGTGAAAAGATTGGACCATTGCCTGAAGTGGTGGAGAAAGATGGAGTGGCTCTTTATCAAGAAGTTATTTTTGAAGAGTACATGAAAAACTTTTTTGGGAATGCTCATGACGGAAAGAGATCTCTGCAATTTGCTCAGAAAAACTAAGCTTTATCCGAAAACTAAGGGGTTGTTTACTTCATTTCTCTGTTTTTCCTTTTCCAGAAAATCCTCCATTTTTCCATTCTGGTAAACGAGCCCTAATAATCTCGCAATTTCTAGTCCAATAAAAATGCACTCTATCAAATAAGGGAAACAAAATTTACTTGCATTCACTTTGTCTCTTACCTTGTGTAATGAAATCATGTATGCATTTTATGCTAGTAATCCAAAAAAATGTGTTCTTCTACTTTAATTTGTTGCTTTACTAATAATCCTTTGTAGTATCATGGATCAGAAAATCTTTACCCCTAGAGAGAGTTAACTGACTATACAAGATTATAGGAAACCTATGAAAAGATCACTATACTGCTGTGTTGTTTTCAGACAGCTACTAGAGCACAGAGCAAAAATCTTACTTAATCTCGAGATGCATCCATGTGTTCAGGAGCCTTTGTGGCATTTGAATTACAGCGTTGACAATCATCATCGCCTGGACATGACATTGATGATTGGGAAATTACCAGCAGCGACGACAACTGAATCAATTGAGAATTAATATCATGTTAGGCTTAGAGGGGGAAAAAAATTAGTAATGGACAGTTTTTTGTTCAAACTTTCAATACGAATCACTTCTGTTGCGATAATTAGGAATACCACTTTCTTCAGGCCACTACAGTTGCAATGTAGTATCATTTTGCATATGACACAATGGAAGCAAGCAAGTAATTTTAGTTGCAAAACGGTGAGATTGAGTAAAGAAGTATTGAGACTGCCCAGACCTGCTGGATTTGCTTACAGAATGTACAGTTTTTAAAAACCATTCTACTTTTGTTAATGTCATAATCTAAGATTGGGTCGAGGTCACTCAACTGGGCTATAATGCACATGGGCAAAACCATACTAAAAGACTGAATCCAATCAATTAGCTAGTGGCCTTATAAACTCATATATTCTCAATGTACTCTTAACAGCTAAAATGGGGTTCAATTCACTAGATGTGCTGAATGCTGATGTGCAAATACTGAGACATCGGATTTAATTAAGGCAATGCATAAAGACTGGCAAATAATTCAAAAACATTATCCCAAAAATGGGGGCAACACTACATTCACATAACAAGAAATTGAATTGGTAAAATGAAAGTTATATGTTGAACTGACCTTGGTTCCAGCCACTATAGCGCCTGTTAAGGGATGAACTGTGCATGCAGTAACACCTTCACTTAACGGGATAAATTTGTTTTGTCTATGTTGATGTTGGACTTGACTTGTGCCTTCTATCTCCTCACTACATGAAACATGATTAATTACCACAAGCATTAGACCTATTTGGAAGAACATTTAATTTTTTTCCCATGCCACAACCATAGACCTTTGCTATATGTTACCATGCATACAAAAGAAGAGCAAAAACATAATCTTGTGGATAGCCACCAATGTTTGGCTTCAGATGCAAGAGGACACAGGACTACAGAAGTTCATTACAACGACAAGAAAAATATGAAAGTTTGGGATCTAAAGGAAGATCTAGACTTGTCGATTTGCACCAAGTATGAGAGGAAAATATAAAACAGAAAATGTTCACTTGGTTTTGTTTCTATCAATAATGCCATGCAAGGAACTTAGAAGTTCATACTCAAAATTGACATGGCAAGGGGAGCTTCGGTCAGGATAGAAATCCAAAAGGTGAATTCCATTATCTGATTCGGAACCAATTGCATATATCTGCATGCAGAAACATAAAATAAAATAATCTTTAGAGAAATTTTACTTCAATAAGTTCAAACACAGCTGAAGCAAATGGTAGCTGACCACTCCTAACTGGAATTGATAGAGAGCTCATAGAAATTATAAACGCAGACTAGAAAGCCACTTTTAAAAGTCACCCGACTAAAATCATTCCACTTTCAATCCTAAATACCCAAAATGCTCTCTTTGTGAAAATTTTATCAAATTTTGCCCTACTATGGTATTTGGACATTTTGGACTAAAGGTTTAACAAATTAAAGTTGAAGACCAAAAGTGGAAACAACCCTATACTTGAGGGATCAAAAGTGGAATAAACTCCTTAGATGATGATGATGAAGTCATGGTTTAACCATATCTTTGGTTTGCTAAATGATGAGAGGCTGAAAAGATCATTTTGATGCCATCCTTTATCACTAGCAACTTCCCTCCACTTGTAATAGTTCCAATTCACAAGGAATGCTTTCACTATGCCTGCTCACAGCTTTCACACCTAATATGTTAATTGGTTTCAAAATCCTTCAAATAGAGTTTTGTAGTAATTTAATGGTCTCAAGCCCAAGAATCACCATCTAATATCTAAGACTACAAGTACACCTAGTAGTTAAGCTTATAGACCCCCAAAACTTTGTTTCCATATTTTCTACAATTCATAACTTTGTCAAATAAACCACATATGACATGGAACTCTATATTAGTTTATCTGCAGACTGCAGGAAGAATTAAAGCTCCTTCAATGATATAGATTCTAAATCTTGTTATAGATGCAATTTGTAGTGTCAGCATGTTCACAATTTTCTATACAAACAGTGATGATATTTTAGTATGCAACAGCTCAGGAATTTTGCACAAAGATCAAGATATAGCAATAGTTTGATTAATTTTAAATGCGAGCAAAGAACTACATTCGACATTCTATTTATTTATTTGAGGTCAATTTTAACTAATGAAGTGCAAAAAGCCAAACATAGGCCAAAGGGCAATGAAACCATCAGAATATGAGACCAGAGACTATAACATCTTACTGAATAATTAGGTAGCCATGAAGGTTTTCGTAGGTGACAGATATTGCCCAAGCAACCAATGTTATCCCTAGAATCAAATCAAAATAAATATGTAACAAGAAAGATACATTTTATGATTTTCAGTCAAGGTAATTTCAAGAATGAAAAATCTCTTGTACCGTAACCAAGCTGGAGGGGGGCAATGTACATGTGTTACTCTCAAAGAGTTGATATCAAAAACACCAGACCTACAAAGGAATCCACAAGAAAAGCCTAGTTGATAAATCACATTAGCCAGCAGCATATAGCAGTTGAGTATATTAAGGGTCCAACTGAAATATTACACATTATTATTATAATAACTATCAACTACTTCTCTTCCTAATCTTTCATAATCACTAACGTTCCCATGTCTAAGAATCTTTAACTCACATGACATAGACCATATCTCCTGCTTTTAGAAAACATTAGGATTCTATAATTGCTTAGTTGATAGATTTTTCACATTATATGTTCTGAGACATTCCAGCCTAACAAAATTTGAATGGGCCTAGGGCCAGTGATCCAACCATCACATGAATCCCTGTTCTATTTGTATATTTAATTTGAAATATTACAGTACATTTTGAATATTTTGAATAAATCTAGGACTTTTCATGATGCATCAGAAATACCATTGTTGTATTTCTATATTTCACTGACATAAAACCGTACATATTGGAGACCTCGAGTAAATCTTGGATTTGACATAATTATTTATCCAAGACTTAATTCAATTAATAAAAAATCAGTACAGAAGGAGTGAAGGTCCAGGCAGGAAAAATAGCCTTAGTTAGAAAGTCCGTTGTGTGTGTGTATTCAACATTTCAACTCACAAAGCAGCATTCAGTATATGAGAAGAATATACAACTGAGGAAAAACATCGAAAATATGAGCAGTTAATAAATTAACAGAATTCAATTTTAAGATAAATAAGCAGAGCAATTTGAGAAGGTTGTGCATTCAAAGGAAAGATTTTATTCTGAAGTCTCGAATTTATGTATTTATTTTGAGAACCTTCGATCTACTAATAAATTTCAATAAAGGAGCACATATAAGTGCAAGCAAAAAGATATTAACACATGACAATAAAGGTTGAGAAATTCGAGGACAATGAAGTGGGATATGGACATATGGTTATTATCTTCAACATGAGAAAATAAAATAGTTATACTGAAGGGTAGGAGATTCTTTACCCATACTATAATTCGTCTACCTCTATTACTTCTCAAAAAGTTCAAAACATCAATATACTCTTAATATTTGGGTGTATTTTTACGGTATCCCACCATAGTTGCACACATGATACATAAACCATAGAAATACTACATGCATTCACTACAGTTTCCTCCACCTTGTATATGAAATTTCTGCAATGACTATATTTGAGATTGAAATCACACATACTTATTAAAGTAACAAAAACTTAAGCTATTTGTTACACCAATTGAATTTATGTTTGTTTCCAAACTTACCAACCGTCGTCAAGATGGAATGCCAATTGATATTGGCAAGAGGGATTAATGTCAATGGAATGTATTTCCTTCAAGTGAACATTAGATTGAGCCTGCAGTTTAGTGTTAAGATGAAAGTGATTAGTGGGAAAGGCTATACAAATAAAATCCTTTTCCTTTTCTTTTAAAGTAAAAGATCTACTCACAGAGAAATGCTCCCAGGAGGTGCTTAGAAAAGTTAATAAAACTTTATAAAACAGGTCTAGTCTTATTCATCACAAGTAATTCAGACCATACTTAAAGCCGACAGCATTTTGATATATTATTTAAAGTAAACTACTTCAGTTCATAAGAGGATAAATTTGTCCATTCTTACATGTTAATGTGTAGACATGTAATACAGATATGACATGATTGGAAAATGGCAACACTCTTTATTACTTCTTTTTTTTTGTGAAAGTCGAAAACAAACATAGTAAGATGCAGTAATGAGAGAAAAATTTTCCAACTGATTAACATTTTCAGTAAATATATTTCCCTGTGGGTAAAACATAATAATGCATTCATGTAGTTCTCCCATACCGTTTTCGAATGTTCTGCTTAAAATAAATGCTCCCAAGTCCATTTAATATTAGCCTTCACTTTTGAGTAAATATTACTATTTTATTTAACTCATTTATTTATTTGCCTTTTTGAAGTTTCACTTGGATCCTATTTCTCCTCATGACTAATTACAAAAATCCGGCTGCAAACGTGTCAAGACTAAGAGTATGTTAGAAATCCAGAAAGAAGATGAGTTCCAAACTTGTGCTAGAGCAGGCAGAATTGTCTGACACCAATATGTCCGCCCATGGAAATGGCAGTGCTTCTTGGTATTGCATAGTGGCAAACACTTCTGTTAGATTCCACTTGGGATATACGTTCAGC